GTCGGCAGGCACGTGGACAGGAGTACTACAGTTTGCAGATCTGCCCACGCAAGCTATCCACGTCCCAAACCTCGCCAATCCACATCTCCAGATTCTGGGCCAACTACACTCAGATCACAGGCGTCGCCCTATACGGCTGGCCGACCTCGCCAACGTGGCCTGGAGCTCGTGCTCTCACTGAGGACATGCTCCAAACCATCACACAAGAAGTCATTCTCGGCACAGCAGGACTACGATTCGTGGCAGGCGATTTCAACCACAGTGAATCTCTGCCATCCATCCAAAGCTGGCTCCAAGCCGGATGGATTGAGATCCAAACCCTGCACCACATGATATCCGGCTTCGCGCCACAGAACACATACCGTGGCGTTTCCAGGCCAGACCGAATCTACCTTTCGCCTGAGCTGGCGGCCTACTTCAAGGAGGCACACTACGACACCTGGTTCGCGGACCATGGAGCGCTTTCATGTGTCCTGCAACTTCCGGATCACAACCCCAGCTACTGGGCATGGCCACTACCAGCGCAGATCCCCTGGTCAGACATCGATGTGCCAGCCTGGCACGCCACCTTCGCTGCCTCCACGCCAGACATCCAACAAACCTCCGACCCCACACAGCACTACAAACACCTTGGGCATATCTACGAGAGCAGCCTGGACACCCACCTCTACCACCAATCACGAACAAAGCTTCCACCTGCCTGTCTTGGGCGTGGCCAACGCCTCAAGCCCACGCGACGACAACCGCAGGCCCCTCTTCTGCGACCCAGTCGCCCTGGCAAGGAACATCTGAACTCCGACTTGGTCAGTCGCTCTGTTCTACGCTGGTTCCGCCAACTCCGCCGACTGCAAAGCATGATGCACTCCCTCCAAGCTGGAGGTCAAGGACCCACACATCAACTCTACAGAGCGGAGCTCTGGCATGCTATTGTGCACGCGACCGGCTTTCAGCACGGCTTCCTCCACTGGTGGCCCACTCGCAAGCACCGTTTCCAAGGAAGTCCACCACTCCTCACACACCACATACCCTGCCTCGACCACATGACCCTTATCTACCATGACTACCGCTACAGCTTCCGCAGCCTCGAGAGCTGGAATCTACGACAAAAGTCCAATTGCAGTCAACTTCGACTTCAGCACCACCACCACCGCATCTTCAAAGCCATCAAACCAGCCAGCAGGGAGCCCATCGACCGTCTGGTCGAAAAACAATCAGCCACAATCATTGCACACGTCGACCAACCTTTGAAGACGACAAGCCCACTCGCTACCTGGCGGGTGGACGGCACTCCAGCCTCAGTTCATCAGCTCACCCCGGACACCTTTGAGGTCGACACTGACCTACTACTTGTGACGGGCCAAACCCTACACCAGCACAACCACATCACCACACAGTCCCAAATTCACACGACCCTTGAACAATTTTGGCAACAGCGCTGGAGCAAACACGCCGACCTTCCACCTCAAGCCTGGCGCAGAATCACTAGCTTTACAAAAGCTTACGTTCCCAAGGGCATCATTGACCTCCCTACGCTCCAGCTCCCTCAATGGGACCAAGCGCTCACCAAATTCAAAAAGCACTCCGCCCGTGGACCTGACGGATATGGCCGTTTGGACCTCGTCAACATGCCAACACCACTCAAGCAAGCACACATCGACCTGTTCCAGCGCATCGAGCGTGGTGAACAATGGCCACAACAAATGCTAACAGGCTTCGCGCACGGCCTTGCCAAGTGCGACGACGCCGAGGAGGTCAACCAGTTCAGACCCATCATCGTCCTCAGCATGCTCTACCGCAACTGGTCCTCCATCCGGGCACGTCAAGCGTTATCCAGGCTCGCCAAACTCATGGACTGCCCTGCATTTGGGTTCTTGCCCTCTCGCGAGGCCCGAAAAGTCTGGTTGCCCCTCCAGGGCCTCATCGAACTCCGAGCGCAACAATCCAGCCCGCTAGTCGGCTGTGTGGCCGACATCGAGAAGGCCTTCAACCACCTCCCACGAGGCCCTATCAAACAAATTGCCAAACATGTAGGCTTCGACACGGACTTTGTCGAAGCCTGGCATCGCTTTTTGACCGGCTTTGCCAGAAGATTCAAAGTTCACGACACCCTGGGAGCCCCTCTCTTCTCAAATTGTGGCTACCCGGAAGGCTGCCCGCTCCGCTGCGTGGCAATGGCCCTCACCGACTGGTGCTACCACTTCTACCAACGACACTTCGCACCTCGGGCAACCTCCATCTCATTCGTTGACAACCTTGAGCTGGTCGCAGACCACCCCGGAGCTCTCCTGCAAGCCATAGTGGCCCAGGAAACCTTCCTTGACATGTTCCAACTACAAATTGACTCCGACAAAACCTACCTTTGGGGTCTCCAGGCGGCCCACCGGAAGCAACTGAGCCATATAGGATACCGGGTCAGCCAGAAGGACAAGGACTTGGGTGGACAAATGACCTACGGCTCTCGCCGCAGAACCGCCCACCACACCAGCATTGTTCACCAACTCCAGACCACATGGTCTCTCTTACGACGACTTCGGGCCCCAGCGCATTGCAAAGCGTATGTGCTGGTACAGGCCATCTGGCCCAAAGTCTTCCACAGTGCACCTATAGAGGACCTTTCCAACCAACTCATCAAACAGCTCCGCACAGCAGCGGTCAAAGCGCTTGGCCACGGCAACGCCGGTGCCAATCCAGCCATCCGACTCAGCCTGCTCACCACCAACATTCTCAACGACCCGGGATTCTACCAGCTTTGGCAGATAATCCGCACCTTTCGACGGCTACTTCACAAACAGCCAACTCTTCTCGAGATGTGGACCCAATTCCAAGCATCTTACAACGGCCAATTCTTCGCCGGACCTTTCTCCGTCCTCATCAGACAGCTCAACATGATCTCCTGGCGAGTCGAAACTCCGCCCATCCTTGTGGACCACGATGGGCTCACCCACGACCTCATCACCATCGACAACGCCCACCTTCGGTCCCTTCTCGAGGACGCATGGCGACAAAGACTGGCCCTCGACATCTCCGCTCGTACTGAGTACCAGGGGCTCACTGGGATCAACTGGAGCGCCAGCAAACACATCGAGGCTCCACTCACACCGATCCACCTTGCACAATCCAACGCGCTCCGGGAAGGAGCATTCTACCTCAACATCCATAAGGCCAAGTACGACAACCTTCTTTCCCCAACATGTCGCTTCTGCCCCGAACTCGACACGGCAGAACATCGCTTCCTACGCTGCCCGGCCTACGCCACTGCCCATCCCCAAGCATGCCAACTATGGGCAGACTCACCGGCCTGTCTCAGGGAGCATCTCCTGCTCCCTAGAAACCCTCACATCCAACAACTCCGAACCTACCTACATCAACTTCCAGACTAGCAGCACACCTACACAGCCACCAGCAAGATCACCGAGACCGTGCACTTGTTCACGGACGGCTCATGCACCTCTCCGCGATACCAACCGCTGGCATTAGCCTCCTGGGCAGTCATATCCGCTACCCAATGCGCGCAGATTGCAGCTGGCCCACTCCCTGGCGAGGTGCAATGCAACAACCGGGCCGAGCTCTACGCGGTCATTGTTGCCGCACAATGGACCCAACAACAACGCTGCCACACGCACCTGTGGACAGATTCAGCTTGCACGGCCAACGGCACCTGGCAACTTCAACACGACAACCACAACCTTCCCTACCACACTCACATTGACCTATGGAGGCGACTAGCAAGCACTATTGCCGACCTCAACCCCGAGCAGTTTCAGGTTCACCACACACCTGCACATGGTTCCCCAGACGACCAGTCCGACCCGGTCGATGCCTGGTTGGCACGTTGGAACAACACAGCAGATACCGCTGCTAAGGCTGCCAACCAGCAGCGAGGGCAGCCATTTCAAGACATTTGGGCAGCCTACGAAAAAGCTGAACTCGATCAACTCCATCGCCTCCGGCACCTTCAGGCCCTCCACCTCGCTATTGCCACGGTTTCGGCATCAGCAGCTTCGGCGACCTCAGCAGATGCTGAACCTGACCTACCTGAAGACGCAGATCCTCCTCTTGAACACAGTGAGGCCCCGCCGAGTTGGACCGATTCGCTTGATCCGAATTGGAGCACCACCTTGCATGGCTCGCAATTGGAATTTAAGTTTGGTAGCCTCTTTCCGGCAAGTGCCATTCGCTGGCTTTTGCAGGAGGCAGACTCCACCGCCAACGCCACCTATGTTTCGTGGCTCGAATGTACAGTTGCATTGCGGCTTGCCGCCGTCCGATTTCCGGTCCCGACTCCACACTCGAGTGGCGAGGTTTGGCGGGACCAAAGCCCACACGTCAATGTCCAAACCACCTTGGCCGCTGACATCAGGATGGTTCGCTTTTTCTTTCGGCTTTGTGCCGCTCAGTTTGGCTTGGACCTTGACGAGGTAAGGGGCTTGAACCTTTCAACATTAGGTGTCGCCCCTCCACAAGCAGGGCTCGCTTTGAAAATCACCCGGGCGCACAGACAATGGGTGTCTCGCGAGCTGAGGGCATTTTGTTTAGGTCGCCCGATCCGGTCAGCAAATGACCTGGCCAGACCTTTCAGGCACCAGTCCTGAATGGAACCACGGACAAACGCCCGCCGCACTGCTTCCGCTGTGCGCGGGCACTACGCGCGTGTGAATGACAGCAAGGCTAAACAAAACCGAAAGCGATCACGGAGGGGCCCAGCTGGGTATGATTCGGCCACCTTCGGGGACCCCAAACAGAAGCCTTCAAACCAAGCCGGAAAAGGGTACGTACCGTCAAAACACACGCAGACAGAGACAGACGCAGATGCAGACCCAGACGCAAGCCCAGACACAGACACAGAGACCCTGCGACCCAGAGACCCAAGGACTCCAGAGGCCCAAGAACCCAAGAGACACAGACAGACACACAGACACACAGAGACACATTGACACACACACACACACACACACGCACAGTTGATGGATAAAACGCTGGATGATGCAATTCCTTTGAAGGACGGAGTGCTGCTGCTGAACCGGGACGACTTCAAGCCGAACCGGGAGCGGCCCACGGGCGACCACGGCCTTCTTGATCCCAAGCCTGCAAGTGGCTCCAGGGTTCCAATGTCATTTCCTGGTTTGATGAATTCAAACCCCACCCCTCGGACCATTCTTGAAGGGGCGTTGTGCGTCAGGTAGGTGGTTAGTAAGCCTGGTGAGATAACCCCACCTACTGCCATGGTGATAAGTCTCCGTGCAGTGGGTTGTAACCAGGCTTAAGTCTTAAGGCTGAAGTACACTGCCCCCTTTAAGCTTACATTGCGAGTTTCCTTGCGGCGAGTGATGTTAAGGGAACTGTGGGAAGCCCATGGCAGTGGACAGCAGGTCGTTGTGAGGTGATGGAACTGTCGTCCCAAACCGTGCTGTCCACCTCCATGATGGAAAGCTGCTATGTCTCCTTTTTGGGTGGTTTTCAACATTACCTTGCGGTTGGCAGGGTGAAGGGAAGTCGCTCCAGGACACCTTGGGCTTCCCAGCCATCCCCTCGTTGAGTTCGACGGCAGTAGGAGAAGTACAGCCAAAAAGCGCAGCTGCGGACAATAAATCTAGGGGTACCTTTTTTATTCTTTCCAGGCATCCCTCTTTCTGGAACACCACCACAAACACTCGGGAAATGGCGATCGGTTTTTGACAAGAACGATGGCTGAAAAAAGAATGGACATGGAATCAACCGCCATATTTTTTCACCTGCAGCACCAGTGCATGCAAAATCACGCGAAGGCCAAGAACGAGGCAAAGCGCACACGCTCAAAGGTGCAACGTTGCGGCCATGGACCGACGCACCAGCATGACATATGCTGTGTACCATCCTGGCCTGAGAGAAAGTTAAGAAACAACAGTGCCGTTCAGGATCCAAAGGCATCCAACTGAACCAGTCCCCTTGAAACAGGAGTTAATTCTTGCTTCCTTCCGTCAATTTGTTTGCGCAAATTGGCTTGCAACGAGCTTCTCCAACTGTTTCTTGAAAACAAGCCCCGTTTTCACAAGCGGCAATCAATTTGGTTTGCAGACTCAAACCTTGTGGCTTGGCTTTTCCGAGACCCTTTCAAATAGGTGTGGATCGCAGGGTTTAGTCTTTGTTCCACACCAAGGTACCGGGGATTCCTTTTTTTCCCTGTAGCCAAATAGGTAAACGAAGCCTCTGTGTTTTTTTTCTTCGGGGCCTCAACATCTCGTTTGCGCTGCATGTTGACTCGACACTGAGCTGAGGACCCGGCCGCCCGCCCGGCCAAGAGCACAGGATCTCTTTGCAGCGACCCTGACTTGCGCCGTGGATGCGTTTCAGAAAGGGATGCGTTGCGTACTGGGGAAGTCTCTTAAAAGGTTCGTAAAAAGGGAGCCTACCATAAGTCACGCCGAATTATATGATCCAAGAGGCTGGAACAGGCCATCAGGTCAACGGAGGACTCTGGACTCCAATCAGAAATCTCCCCGAATGGCTTGGACCCCCTTCGAGTGGGTCTCTACTTCACGTGGCTGCAGAGTCTAATCCGAGTTGCTGATTTCTTTCAACCAAAAGGTGCTGTGGGACAGAATCCATTTCGCACTCGGTAGGTTGGTTGACCCAGCTTCAGGGTTTCAATGCCTGGTGCGCTTTCTGGATTTTGTCCATCCAGAAACTTCCATTTGCCCAAGAATACCTTTTATTTGTCCCCTGTTGGTTTCAAATGGAATATATATATATATATATGAGCCACGGACAAAACACACGAAGACCACTTTATCAAGGCGGGGAACGTTTTTGCATAACACATGCCAAAACCATGGAAAACGATAAGGTCTCCCCCAAAAACGATAACCCTTAGCTAACACACGGCTCTACAATAACCCCTGCAGTTGCAACTTAGCTAGGGTGGGACCCTTGCGTGGCCACCGTAAAACGAGAAGGCGAGTTGCCACTTTCGAGCTGGAGCTGCCAAGGTGTGCTTCGTAAATACGACACTTGTACTGAGAAGTTGCGATTTTCGAGCTGGAGCTGCGGAAGTGTACTTCGCGTACTAGACTTGTGCTACAAAGTTCTGATTTTCGAGCTGGAGATGCGGCGATTTTCGAGCTGGAGATGTGGAAGTGTACTTCGCGTACTAGACTTGTACTACAAAGTTGCGACTTTCGAGCTGGAGATGCGGAAGCGTACTTCGCGCGCTAGACTTGTACTACAAAGTTTCGATTTTCGAGCTGGAGCTGCGGATGTGTACTTCGCTCACTAGACTTGTACTACAAAGTTGAGATTTTCGAGCTGGAGATGCGGAAGTGTACTTTGCGTACTTGACTTGTACTACAAAGTTGCGATTTTCGAGCTGGAGCTGCGGAAGTGTACCTCGCGTCTTGCAGTACAAAGTTGCGATTTTCGAGCTGGAGCTGCGGAAGCGTACTTCGGGCACTAGACTTGTACTACAAAGTTGCGATTTTCGAGCTGGAGCTGCGGAAGTGTACTTCGCGTCTTGCACTACAAAGTTGCGATTTTCGAGCTGGAGATGCGGAAGTGTACTTCGCGTACTAGACTTGTACTACAAAGTTGCGACTTTCGAGCTGGAGCTGCGGAAGTGTACTTCGCGTACTAGACTTGTACTACAAAGTTGCGGTTTTCGAGCTGGAGCTGCGCAAGTGTACTTCGCGTACTAGACTGGTACTACAAAGTGCCGATTTTCGAGCTGGAGCTGCGGAAGTGTACTTCGCGTACTAGACTTGCACTACAAAGTTGCGATTTTGGAGCTGGAGATGCGGAAGCGTACTTCGCGTACTAGACTTGTACTACAAAGTTTCGATTCGAGCTGGAGATGCGGAGTGTACTTCGCGTACTAGACTTGTACTACAAAGTTGCGATTTTCGAGTGGAGCTGCGGAAGTGTACTCGCGTACTAGACTTGTCTACAAAGTAGCGATTTTCGAGCTGGAGCTGCGCAAGTGTATTCGAGTACTAGACTTGTTCTACAAAGTTGCTGACTTTCGAGCTGGAGATGCGGAAGTGTACTTCGCCTACTAGACTTGTACTACAAAGTTGCGATTTTCGAGCTGGAGATGTGGAAGTGTACTTCGCGTACTAGACTTGTACTACAAAGTTTCGACTTTCGAGCTGGAGATGCGGAAGCGTACTTCGCGCACTAGACTTGTACTACAAAGTTTCGATTTTCGAGCTGGAGCTGCGGATGCGTACTTCGCGTACTAGACTTGTACTACAAAGTTGCGATTTTCGAGGAGCTGGAGCTGCGGAAGTGTACTTCGCTTACTAGACTGGTACTACAAAGTTGCGATTTTCGAGCTGGAGATGCGGAAGTGTACTTCGCTTACTAGACTGGTACTACAAAGTTGCGACTTTCGAGCTGGAGCTGCGGAAGTGTACTTCGCGTACTAGACTTGTGCTACAAAGTTGCGATTTTCGAGCTGGAGATGCGGAAGTGTACTTCGCGTACTAGACTTGCGCTACAAAGTTGCGGTTTTCGAGCTGGAGATGCGGAAGTGTACTTCGCTTACTAGACTGGTACTACAAAGTTGCGACTTTCGAGCTGGAGCTGCGGAAGTGTACTTGGCGTACTAGGCTTGTGCTACAAAGTTGCGAATTTCGAGCTGGAGATGCGGAAGTGTACTTCGCGTACTAGACTTGCGCTACAAAGTTGCGATTTTCGAGCTGGAGATGCGGAAGTGTACTTCTCGTACTAGACTTGTACTACAAAGTCGCGATTTTTGAGCTGGAGATGCGGAAGTGTACTTCGCTTACTAGACTGGTACTACAAAGTTGCGATTTTCGAGCTGGAGCTGCGGAAGTGTACTTGGCGTACTAGACTTGTACTACAAAGTTGCGAATTTCGAGCTTGTACTCCAAAGTTGCGAATTTCGAGCTGGAGATGCGGAAGTGTACTTCGCGTACTAGACTTGTTTTTACAAAGTTGCGATTTTCGAGCTGGAGCTGCGGAAGTGTACTTCGCGTACTAGACTTGCACTACAAAGTTGCGATTTTGGAGCTGGAGATGCGGAAGTTCACTTCTCGTACTGGACTTGTACTACAAAGTTGCGATTTTCGAGCTGGAGATGCGGAAGTGTGCCTCGCGTACTAGACTTGTACTACAAAGTTGCGATTTTCGAGCCGGATCTGCCAAAGTTCGAAAACACTGTAAAACGATAAGGTCTCCCCCAAAAACGATAACGTTCAAAAAAGCACTAGGGCCAAGTAAAGTGTTTCGTTCGCTCCTCATATATATGTATGTATTTATATGTATATATATATCACTCCTGCCATGGACATATTTTCTCATTTGTCCCCCAGAGGCTCAAGCAACTGGAGGGAAGTTTGCTGTCACCGAGGCAGCGCGTGACTCTCTTGGAGTGCGCCCACAAGCCGGAGGCGCGCGAAAAAGGATCGAACGGAAGCAAACAGGGGACCTCACCCGGAAGACGCCGAGCATCCGCCCTCCCCGAGTCATACGCCTGTACTGTAAGTCAAGCGGGGTTTTGTGAAACGGCGGGCTGCTTGTAGAATGGACAACCTGAGTTCGCCCGATGTTTGACGTGTTATGTGTTTGCGGAAGTCAAGAAATCTGACTCATGGCTGACCATGAACCTTCTCTTCAGCTGTTTTTTTTTTTTTAATCGAGTCCCCCTTCCAATAGTGTGCCCTTGTGGGGAACTCCCATTCCGGGCAACCAAAAGGTCCGGTTCCAGAGAGCTGTCCAGTTGTCACAGGGTTCCATGGGTTTTGCGTCGAGCGCTGTTGCAGCAGGAAGAGATGCGTCTCGTTTCAAAAGTTGCCGGCTTCACTGAAGCATAGCAGTTCGCCCTCGCAAGTTGGAACTTGAAAGTGGGGTGTGACAATGTGACAGCGTGTGCTCCTGTGAATTGCCGAGTATGTGGCTGGTTGGGGTGTCTTGTTTGCGGAATCCCACACATCCTCAGATGTTTCCTCTGAATGCCATACTTCCCAGCCACCCGAAAATAAGAGATCAACACGTTCTCCGGCTTAGGCAATGTTTGAGCCCCAGCAAACCAGTAAAGCAGCTTGCCAGGGAGTGTTCATTTTCGTTCAAAAGGATGCAGGTCAAAACCCAAGAGCACAACCACTGCAAAGAACTAGTGTGAACTACCAACAGCAACTACCGAACATGACATGTTGACCATATTGTTCCAAAGGTAAGCCTATCCAGGAATCAACCATAAATTAGGAAAAAGGGGCTCTCAAGGCGCAACAAGTATCTTTTTCAGATATGGGTCTGTCTCAAAGCAAGAGCACCCCCGAAATGAGGGGTTTCCTTTTCCCGTTCAAAAGGCCCCAGAAAGGATACCAGGAAAACAAACATGGCCATCCTCAATTGTCCAAAGCCGACGTTTTGACTTTTTGGTTTTCACCCATGTTGGTCTATGTTTGCCAGCCCAAAAGGTGATCACCTTTTATTCCTGGGTTTTCTAAGGGGCAACTGCGCTTTTAGACCAGTTTCTCCACGTCTTCCATTTGCTGAGAGAACGTTCGCTTATTTTCCCCTGATGTAAATCAACATCGTTGGCACCACTGGACATAGCTTCTCTCTTTTCCAGGGGGCGAAAAAGCAAATGGACGCTGGTCATCGATCGGTCTGCCCCTTTCTTGAGGGCTGGTGAAGCAGAAGTTCTATGATGCTCTGTTGGTTTTCCCCAGCTGGAATGGGGTTAGGCCCAGGAATCCAAGGCTCCTTCGGGGTGCCAAGCTTCCCAAGTTGCACTCAACCAAGGTGAAGAACATGGCGCTCTCATTTACTCACTTCCTGAGTTCATGAACTTTAAGCTTTTTGGGAAGACCATTTTAGTGGTAAGCAAAAAGTTTGGACTTTTTTGGGGCCATCCACTCAGCCGGTGAGTTTACCACCAACCTACCTAAGCCGTTCTGCCCGTGGCACCGCGAATTTTCCCAAGTCGCCCCCAGCACTTTCTCCCCAAGTTGAATCGAGGTGCTCATCGGCTGGCGGGTGAAGATCGAGTCGGTGGGCGAGGGCAAGGTGCTGGCGGTGCGGAAGCGCCGGCTCCGCGCCAGCCTCTTCTCCGTAGGCGTCGCGGGGGTGGGGCGTAGGGTTGGGGCGAGGGTGGGTGGGGTGGGGTGGATCCGGGTAGGGGAGGTCTGGGGACAGAGAACTATGTCCATGTACTGTTGACCGGCATAGGGAATTTTACCTCCATGGCGGATATCTAGATCTATACGAGTCTGCACTAGCGAACTCACCGATTCTGGGGGGTTCCTTGCGGATTCTCTGTATCTTGGTCAGTGAACTATCATAACTTGTAATTGGTGCTGGGTCCCTTTGGTGTCTAAAAACAGCCAAAGGAAACTAGTTGTTGAATCAGATGTCAGGAAGCGCTCTAACCATGCCTCAAAACGAGAAGCAACCGTGCTTGACTTGAGCTTTGTTCCCAACTTGAAGCCGCACCTGTCTTGGTTCTCCATCACCCCAATTGCATCTAAAGGTCCCAATCCAATCCTCACTTCCTGAGTTGGTGGACTTTAAACTTTTTGGGAAGACCATTTTGGTGGTAAATGAACAGTTTGATCTTTTTTTGGGCAGTCAACTTGGGAAGTGAGAATCCAATCGAGGTTCCAAACTCCCAAGCTCCTGGGTCCCAGTTCCGAAAGGCCCGAAGGCCTGGTTGCAAAGCTGGAGTCCTGAGGGTGTGTATGGAATCTGGTACCGCACAGTTGAAACATGGCCCAGTAAGGCCCATTGTTTTGGTTTTTTAAACATATATAAATATATATTATATATATATATATATATATGGAAACCGTTCAATGTGAGGCGATTCGCCAATGGTCGTATATTCCCAGCTGTGACACGCCGTGATAGAATTGTGGTACATTTGAGTTTTGCTGGCAACTAAAAGAGATGCAGTCAGCATGGCGTATACCTTATATTAGCATGTCCGAACTCCATAATTGCAAGGGAGTGATAAAGACATGTCCCCTTGAATTTTTGTGGGCGCCGACAGGTCTGCCTGACAACTCTGTGCGGGAGATTGCCCTGAAGAGAGCGTACGTGTCTGCGGCCCTAGACACCGAACTCGTGTCGTGGTCAGTTGCCTTCAGTGTACCCGGACCCTCAAACCACCCATGAAAAAGGGGACTCACCAACCATATTTTGGGCAGTAACCATTTTGTAAGGGAATTTTTGCGGGTCCCGTCACACGACCCTCTTTGCAGGGAGTTTGAGTGTGGAACAAACTGCTTGAAATGCAACACACAGTGACTAGGCTTGTTTTCAACGCAACGCGAAACCTACACTTCACAGCAGGGCAATGTGGGAGAATTGTGATGCTCTCATTTGGGGGTAAAGCGAGCTCACTATAAGGTAGGCGCTTTACTTGGGGGCTCTTATTGAAGGTTTTGGTAATAAAAAATTGGAGGGCCATTTGTTTTTAGGAATTGTGGCTTTTGTGGCTTTTCATTTCGCATCCTCTGCTTCCTGCATCCTCAGCATCGCCAGTTCCTCTCTGGTGCCCCCCCTCCACCCCCTTTCGATTAAAATGCACGATCATCATGCGACAGCTAGTTTTTAGATTCTTTGCCCCTAATTGAATCATCACTTTTTCGATCATCAGGGGGGGCTGCCGCCCCCCCAACCCCCCCGCTCCTTTAATTGAATCATCACTTTTTCAATCATCAATGGGGGGGCTGCCGCCCCCCCCAACCCCTCCGCTGCTTTTTGGACTTTTTGGCCCAAATTGATTGAATCATCACTTGTTCGATCATCAGGGGGGGGGCCCTGCTGCCCCCCCGCTCCTTTAATTGAATCATCACTTTTTCAATCATCATGGGGGGCTCAACCCCCCCCCGCTACGTTTTAGGTGTTTTACAGGGATTGCACCCGTATTTTAATCCTCACTTTTACCATCATGAGGGGGACCCGCCCCTCTTTTTAACATGCATACATAAATGCCTACCTACCTTGCCGGAGAGGAACTGGTGCTGCTGAAGATATAGGAAGCCAAGGCCCTCGATTTGCTGGTGATGCTGGATGTTGGCTGGACATGCGGGGGATGGTGAAAACGATGCTGTTGACGGACTAGCGTAAAATACGTACATTTCGTGAGACAATGCTGTAAAATACAGCATTGTACTAGCCAGGACGGAAAACAAAAAACATATATATATATATATATATATGGCTGTGGGGTCAAAACCAATTACCATTGTGGGGTACGATTTAGATTTTGACCCATGGCCATATATCTCTCTTTTTTTTGGTATATATAGTGTGTGTGTGTGTGTTGCTCCTTGGAATGATCTTCCCAGGCCATACAAGGTCCCAGGTGCCGGCGTCCTGTTGCCAAGGATGCTGCCCTGGAACCACGGCTACAAGTTTGATTTGCTGAGGAAGGAAAACTGATTTGCAAATGTACGCAGTGCCCAAAACAGTCAAGGGAATCCATTTGGAAGAGGGGATGTCCTTTGCCTTCATGGCTGACACAAGCTGAAAACTACAAACATCTGGGAAGAAAACATCAATAGACTTTGGGCACATGGACTTGAGCCGAGGTGTGCATGCCACGATGCAACAAGCAAGGTTGTGTTGTATTGGTTCGTTTTCTTGCAAGCGTCGTTACCCTGCAAAAAACAGGCAAGAGCAGAGTGTGTCGTTCCAATTCACATTTGGCATGGCACGGCCCTCGATGTACATAGCAGGAGGCCGAAAGCGCTTCTTGCCGTCCGATTCAGCTTGCTTGGATGCCGGTGATGTGCGTTCGTCTAGCGGCTTCAGTATTGGCATTGGCTGTGGCTCGAGTGATCTGCGTAAACGACAAGAATCTCACCAGACGGGGGCAACATAAAAATGATTCCAGGCATCCAGCATTTCCAACATAAATGATTCCAGGCAGGCATTTCCATCTCCAATGGGCGTTTGCAACCCTTTATCGGGGAACCACACCAAACAATTTCCATTTGTGACACTGGGTCTGAGGGTTCGAGGGTCTTAATGTCTGAGGGTCTGGGGTTTGAAGCCACATGGCGGTACCACCACTCACTTTTGGGGTCCCCAATGTTCATTGTAAAAGGCGCCCCCTTTGAGTTGGTAGGGATGGTCAACCCCAGGTCTCCCGCTGGATGTGTTGGCATCACTTGTACCACTTGTTCAATAGATTGAGTTGTTTGGTTTGGTTCTGTTCATTTCAAGCAGGGGGTCGCAAATACATATACATACATACATACATACATACATACATACATACATACATACATACATACATACATACATACATACATACATACATACATACATACATACATACATACATACATACATACATACATACATACATACATACATACATACATACATACATACATACATACATACATACATACATACATACATACATACATACATACATACATACATACATACATATATATATATATATATACACACATGTATGTATACACATGTTTTTCCTACCATACCAAGGGTTGGAAAGGTTATCTATTGAATTTCTCAGTTCTGGTGTTTCTGGACTTGGTTTTTGTTGGGGGAAGACCATTTTAGTGGTAGACAGAAAGTTCAGACTTTTTCTGGACCATCCCCTCAGGAGAACCTGGATTTCCATGGCAAATACCTCCTTTTTTAGTAGAGGGCCGACATCATACCCTGAAAAAAGAGGGTATTGGGTGTAGGGGGTACCTTCCGCCTTTCCCACATCCACGAAACCTGGGCTGCGACGAATCTCCGGCCGGTTTCGCCAAAGGCGGCAGGCCGAAAGGGGCCGAACAAGGCCTTGCCACAGGTTGAATCACGCCCCTCTGGTTTGCTCCAAGTAAGGACTTGCAAAGGGAGAAGGGGAGAAAGAACAGGGGAGGAGGGGTTTGGATCCTGTGAAGAAAGAGGGAATCACAAAATGAGTGAGGTCTCCTTGGCTTTCTGTTGAAACAAGCGCAAAAAGGGTCCACTCACAACAATACACGCGCATGGTGGGTTCGGTGAACATATCCAGTCCGTTCCTGGTGAATTTGGGAGGGCTGTGGGGGGAGACTCACTAAAGGCCTACCAAAAGCAGGGGGGGTCTCCAATCTTCCCGTGTTCATTATCAGAACCGCGTGTTTGGACCGTGGTTCGAACCACAAGCCCCCCCAACTTCATTCGCGGTTTCCCTTTGGTGCTTTTCTGTCCGTTCTTGGACAAGAGCGGGCAAAAGCGACTTTTGTTGTTTGGGGTGACCAAACTAACTGTTGACCTCTTACCTGACGTTTGCCTGACTCGCCAAAGATCAACGCAGTGGACCAGTTCGGGCCCAAAGCAAGCACATCTTTCGACCACCTCGCATGTCGGTAACAGACAGTTGCTTTTTTCTTTTAGGTGAGAAATGGGCTCTACCCGTTCCCGAACGCTACAAGATAACGGCGGAAGGCCGGTCCCCAAAGGGGCGAAACCATCGGTGCATTTTTCATCTTCCTTGCCCCGACGAGAGAGCTGGTGAGTCGGCTAATTTTGTAGTGGATGCCATCCTATTGTCCTCATGTCTTGGGTTTCGCTGGAGGATACAACCGACCAAAGCATGTCTCCTTTCCCCCACGGCCCCTGGGACATGTGAGTCAAGTGCTTACCATTGACAAACCTGCGCCCGCCTATTGTACCAAAAGCAGCCGCACGTGGCGAGCACAGATCCTGGGTCACGCAAGACGCCTTTTGGGTTTCTCGTTCACTCGGGCCCTACCCGGGGCACGTTTTCTTGAAAGAATAGAGGGCTCAAGAAGGAGCAAGGACAAGGTTCGCCTGTGGATTGACTGCCCTCGCAGCAGTTCACTGCGACTTGTGGCATGCCTGGCAAAATCGACGAAAATGACTTGGAGAGGATCGCATCGTCTTGAAAGGTGAAAGGGTGAAGGGTGAAGAGATTTGCTTGCCCAGAGCTAGACAGCAATTGATCTTTTTGAAGCGACCGCACCTCTGGTTTGACCATTGACTGAGCACGATTTGTCAGGGCTCTCACCATTCCCTTAGAAGGATCAATCAATCAGTATATGATGTATATGATTCATGCGATGCTTGGGCGGACAATATGATCTGTTTATTTATACATTTCTCACAAGCATTTAGCACCAACATCAAGCCAGCCTAAATCTCTCATGAATTGTACCGCTCTGAACTGTGGTCATTTCTTGAGTTGCCAGGCGAACAAGGAAGTACAAGGGGTTAACTAGTTGCACACGTTATTCACTTGTGAACATGTCTTGTATAAGTTGGTTTTGATGTACTTCTTGGCCCTGGACACTGGATGCTTTTGGACGTGCCACTTCAATTTCCTCCAGTCAGATTCGTTGATGGGGTGCCTGCCTGCGGATTTAGATGCGGTGCTTAAGAGACGATCCCTTGGCTTTCAGCAAGATCTGGTGAGAACTTCCTCCCAAAAAAAACCGGTGAGAACCTGCCCCCCCACCCCAAAACAACAACAACAACAACAACACTTCCTGGTGGGATTCCCTTTAGAGCCATCCCCATGAAAAAAAAACGGCGCCTCTGGCAGAAAGGCCCAGCGCCACGCGCATTTCCCCGGCTTCGGCGCCCGGGCGCGGGGCTGAGCGGTGTGTGTTAATTGCCGGGGGGCGGATGATGTCCAGCTAGGGTTTGGGTTAGTTGCTGAAGATGAGAATACTTTGGTGCATGTTGCTTCGATGTTAGGGCTGTATGTTAAAACCCAACGAATGGGTTTTCCGTATTAAACCATTGAAAGTTAAACTTTTAGCAGGGGAGCAGAAAGCAACCGAGTATATATATATATATATATTCATAGGTGGATATGGATCGATATACATGAGATGAGATGAGATGATTTCCAGTTGGGGTTTTGGGTTCTTGGTGGCTCCCAGCCGTCCGGTTCCGTAGCTTTTTAGCCTTTTAGTGTTTAGTGGGGATTTGAATACAACCCCCTAAAAGTTAAACTTTTAGTGGGGGATCTGATGACAGCCCAGGGTTTGGGTTGGTTGCCGAAGTTAGGGTTAGGGTTTGGGTTAGTTGATGGTTGAGACGACAGATGGATGTAGAGAAGGTAAGGTAAGGTAATATATTTGTATATATGTATCGTTATGTGGATTGATAGATGGACAGATGCATCGATAGATTTGAAAGATTTGATGATGGGTCATATTAAGTAGATAAATTAGATAGATTGCAGATCTGATAGATTGGATAGGCTAGATTGATTAGATATATAATAAGATAGATTAGACAGGTTAGATAGTTAGCTCGCTGTCTAGATAGACAGACAGACGACACAGACAGGCCGGCAGACAGACAGACAGACAGACAGACAGACAGAGAGAGACAGACAGACAGAGACAGAGACAGAGACAGAGACAGAGACAGAGACAGAGACAGATAGAGGAGACACACACACACAGTCTTGTTTGCGAAGTCACCCGCCGTGCCAACACGGTCTGTGTTCCTTCAAGCCTGGCCTTTTATGTAGGCCTTTCTGCTCTCTTTTGTTTTGAGATAGTGCTGGGGTTTCCTGTACTTGTGGGCCGTCAGGATTCCCGCGGTGTCGAAGCATTCCATTCAGCCGCCTGGTTGTTTTGATCCCTTTTCGCGAACAGCTCGGGCAATCTTCTTTTGTGTTGGGGCTTCCCACCAAAAAAAACACACGATTTTTCCTAGTTTCCGGATCCGCGAAAGGCCACAGCCCCTTAAACAAAAAAAACTTCCAGTTCCATGAAGCTCGGCAAATGCCGCTGGTTACCTGTTTTTTGCCTGAAAAACAAAATCCGGCCCCTTCTCCGGTCGGATCGAGGCTACCTGGTGGCTTGCCAAACCCCGGCCCCTCCGGATCGAGGCTTTGCGGAAGCTCCTGGCGCTCTTCTGCGCCTCTGTGGATCGTTCGCCCGAAGGCGAGGTGGTGGCTCAAAACTTGACTGCTTTTGGGCGGTGGGTCTGTTTGGTTGAAAACAGATAAGGTTTTCACTGGTTGGTTCTAATCATTTAACTTGACTGCTATTGAGCAACGGGTCTTTAGACTTTTTAGACTTTAACTGTTTGGTTGAAATCAAGTTGGGTGTTCCTTTCTGAATCCCCAAAAAGTTGTCCACTTTTCGCAGGGGGGTCAACAGCAACCAAGAAAATTGAAGAGCTGGGGCAAACCGGAGGTTTTGCTCCATGGAACCCCACTGGGCAACCCATTTTTGGTTCCGGTTTTTTGACTGGCCTTTTTCGCCCGGAGGGGGAGTCAACTTGCTGGCGCGATAGGTTTAGGAGTGAATGAGTCCGGGTGTTGGGAGTGGACCGGTTTTGGGGGATCCCCCGAAAGGAAACCAAGTCTTAGATGGTTTATAGGGGTCATTCCCTCATTAGCTGCTTTTCGCACCAGCAAGTCAATCGCTTGGTTGCCATTATGGCAACCGCCGAGCTGAGGGCGGAATCGCTGGAAGCTCTTGTCTTAGCAA